TGTTTTATATAGCTACTACATTTTTCCATTGTAATAAAAAGTTCAGTAATTTATCTTCGTATTGGATGGTAATGTAATATTTTGTGTATCTACAAATAGCCTACTGAATTTTAGCACGTACATCTGTCATATGAATCATTTCAAGAAATGTATTTATAAAGCAGACTATAATATACAGATTACAAAGAGATCTATGATAAAAAAAAAATTAAAAAAAACATGTTTTCCGGCCAAGTTGTAAAACCGGTTGATGCAATTTGAAACTATGAGCAGCAGTTTGTATCTCTTTAGAGAGAAAAAAATACAGGAGCAAAGATGAAATAATGCAGATTGCTTGTTTGATAGCCTATGCACTGATATCAATGTGTAATATCTATTTAGATATATCTTACAAATGTAAGTTAATATCGCTAACACATTCATATCAAAAATACATTTCCCATAATGCTTTGCGATAGTTTTATTTGAACTCAGTCGTTATAGCACAGCTGTTTATTATATAAATTATATTTATATATATATTTATTAAACAAAAATGTCCTTAAAATCAAACAGTGAAGTTTATAAGAAATGCATTGAGTCAATGCATGTTTATGTTTTTTTTTTTATTGCTAATATATATTTTTTAAATATCAAAATGTTTTTGTAAGTAGTTTCATGATTATAGTAGTATGTTTTTCGCCAGTGCCTCATTTATTTTTAATTAATTCATTCTTTTTTTATTGTACACTGTAAACAATGACTTTTCAAAGGTCTAAGCCTAGAACTTTGAAAAGTCATAAACTTTTAACAATTTTACATTAACATAACATTTAACATAAACAATTATTGGAATGCAGTAAATAGGCTGTTTATTTTCAATTCTCATCAAAATAATTTAACCCGTTTTTTTTTTTTTTTTTAAGTTACATGAGATTCAACTAGACAAAATTAAAAAAAAAACTGAAGACTTGTACACCAAATTTGATTAATCAGGTTCTGTTGTGGCCTTAAATTTTAAAGTTGAATTCGATTTTTTTTGTTCATAATTGATATTATTATTTTGTTGTTTTTATTTACTTATTTTGAGTAGATTTGACTCATTTTTACCGCTGCATCAGTCTCATGATATTAATGGTTTAGTAGACCAAAAAACAATCGGCTATAGCAACATGAACACTAAATGATAGCCTATGTAAATATATTTTCTACCTATTTTTTTTTCTTGTACATTCTTGAACGCATTTAAAAATAACCATACATTTGAAAATACATTCACATATGCCATCTTTGAAAAAAAAAAAACGTTATTTATTGTCTAGAATTTGTGTAAAGGCCCGTTCACACCAAGGACGATAACTATAAAGATAACGATAAAGATATAGTTCTAAAAATCGTTCTCAAAGAATAGCAGAGTCCACACCACAACTATAACGATAAAGGCACAGAGAAACGATATCGTTGGAATCACTTTCAAAACGATTTTTCTCCAGCTGATGAATGATACAAACATTGACAGCCAATCAGAATCCATCCTGCTGTAACGAGCTCAGGAATTTAAAGCGGCAGACGCGCTTGCACTTAGAATAAACAGACGATATCGTTCTCTGGTGTGGACGTTAATATCGTTATCTTTTATATCGTTCTTGGTGTGAACGGGGCTTAACACATTTCAAAGACGTACGTCGTCTACGAACGTTCCAAAACTTACACTATATACTAAAAATGAAATGTTATTAAACCATCTAGGTTTGAACGCTACATTATTCCATCCATTTTTTTTCCCCCGTCAGGTTGAAGATGTCTAACTGCACGCTGAACATCACCGCGGGAGTCCAGAACTTCCAGCTCGCTGCACTGATTCCCACCTTCATCCTCGGCGTCCCGGGAAACATTTACGTCTTAGTGACATTCTGCCGCCGTCCCATAACCGACTGGACCTACATGAACATCTACATCGCCAACATGGCGATCGCGGACTGTGTCGTGCTCGTGCTTCTGCCAGTCCGCATCGCGTCCTACATCTGGGAAAGTTCGCGACTCTGGGACCAAACCAACAAAGAGCTGTGTTACGTCCTCGTGTCGGTTTATTACGTCAACATGTACGTGAGCATCTTCACGGTCACCGCGATAAGCGTCGTGCGCTACGTGGCCATCAAGTATCCGTTAAAAGCCCGGGAAATTTTGTGTCGCAGAAACGCGCTGGCGGTTTGCGCGCTCATTTGGCTGGTCACGTGCTCGTTCAGCGCCGCGTTCCATCGTGTGGACGAACCGGGAAAAAATACTACGATTAAGTGCTTTCAGAAAAACAAAGGAGAGGAATTACCGTTGGCCTTCATTTTGGTTCTTAACATCATTGGGTTCCTCGTGCCGTTCCTCATCATGCTCTTCTGCTCCTTTACAGTCATTTTCAAATTAAGGAAACAGTTGGAAATCGGATATCGTTCTGAGAAGATTCAGTGTATGTTTATCATCGTGGCTAATCTGATTGTTTTCGTCGTATGTTTCTTTCCCATCCACTTCGGCTTTTTCTTCAAGTACGTCACGCAGGCGTACAAGCACTCGTGCAGCGCGCAGTTTTTCGCGCATAATTTCGTTCACGGCGCGATGTGCGTGTCCAGCATGAACTGCGCGCTCGACTGCTTCAGTTATTATTTTGCCACCAGAACATCGTGGAAACGGCGCAGCTCGAAACAAAGTACAAATGAAGAATACGAATGAAGAATTACATTTTGTAATAAACTTCGTAGTATATATATATATATATGTTTTTTTTTTCAACTTTATAAGTGGTTTATGGAACAATAAATTAGTTTTTGTTAAAAAAAAAATATTAACACGTTTTATTTCTATACATATTTTTGTATAAAATGTTTTTGTATTTTTTAACATTAATGCTTCAGTGCATATATATATTAGTGCTGTCAAACGATTAATCGCATCCATAATAAAAGTTTTTGTTTACATAATATGTGTGTGTACTGTGTATATTTATTATGTATATATTTTATTATATCAGAAGCTTGCGTTCTGCAAGTGAACGTCGCTTTATTGTTCATCTCAAAGAGGCACAAAATCACTTTCACTGACTTTTACATTAACTGTTCCCTCCTGGTGGAATGACCTGCCCAAATCAATCCCAGCAGCTGAGTCCTTAACCATCTTCAAGAACCAGCTAAAAACACATCTCTTCCACCTTTATTTGACCCTCTAACTCTAGCACTTTCTATTCTATTTTAATTCTACTTTATCTATATTTATCTTTTTTTATTTAAAAAAAAACAACAAAAAACAAACACTAGCTTTCTATTTTTTCTATTCTATCTACTTGTTTTTCTTTGTGTGTGTATAATATGTGTGTGTGTGTATATATAAATATATATATATATATATATATATGTATGTGTGTGTATATATATATGTATGTGTGTGTATATATGTATGTGTGTATGTATATATGTATGTGTGTGTGTATATATACACCTTGCTACGTGTACTGCGTTAGGCTAACTGAGACTTGTCATTTGCACTTATATATTGTTGCTCTTTTGTTAGTTTTGACTGCTTTTATTGTCCTCATTTGTAAGTCGCTTTGGATAAAAGCGTCTGCTAA